CTAAGGTGTGGAAGAAAAGTCTGTTCCACATACATGATACCATGCTCCCCTTTTGGGTTAAGGTATATAAGAGCAGTGACTGATCTACCCTCCTGATTTTTATTCTTTATCGTCTATAGTTAGCTTTTTCCTCATCCACTCTCTCCCACTCAGGTGTGAACTTCTTCCCCTCATCTACACTCCCCCACTCAGGTATGAACTTGGGGCAGCTCGGCTGGTTCTGATTGCAGTCCCACAAAGACAGCTCCTGACAGAATGCAGAGATCTGTCTGTCTCTGCCTCCTGAGTGCTGGGATTAAAGGCCTGTGCACCACTGCCGGGCTAGTGCCCATCTCTTGCCTCTTACTCCTCTTCCATTTATCTCTTGGGAACAGGCTTGGGAAATGATTTGCTGAGAAATCTATGCTCATATTAGGGAGGGTGAAGGGAAAATTCCCTTGCAGAAACTGTGAAGATGTTAAGTGTAAACAGCAAAGTGCCCAGCAAGCATAACAAAAGCTCTCATGTTAGCAGGAATACGTGCAGCTCAGCACTTTGAATTCACTTGTAGCTTTTCTAGCAGTTTAGACGAACCCTTTTCTACTTCTACTCCTTCTGAGAGTTCAATTTTTATTGGGTAGATATGGACTGGGGTGCTCTGCAGATATGGACTGGGGTGCTCTGCAGGTGTGGACTGGGCTGCTCTGCAGGTGTGGACTGGGGTGCTCTGCAGGTGAGGACTGGTGCTCTGCACATGTGTTCTAGGGTGCTCTGCACATGTGGTCTGGGGTGCTCTGCAGACTTCCATGATTCCTCAGTGCAGATCCCACTCTCAACAAATCTATCCTGGCCACACATGCCTTCATATATGCATACATACATACATTTTTTTTTTTCCTGTTAGAAAACATCTAAAGTTGATCATAATGGAACAAGTTTGTTTTGACTCCTGCTTCTGGAGGCTGGAAAGTTCAAGGCTGGTCAGCTGCACTGGCTAAAACCTTATGCTGCTTTAACTCATCGAAGAAAGCAGGTAGATGCGTGGAAGAATAGAGGGATAAAGGGACAGACTATTGTCTTAGCTATTGTTCTATTGTTGTGAAGAGAATGTCTTAGGCCACATCTACTCCAACAAGGTTACCTATCCTAATCCTTTCAAATAATGCCACTCTCTATGAGCTTACGGGGGCAATTTTCATTCAAGCCACCACATTCCACTCCTCAGTCCCCATGGGCTTATAGGCATAGCATAATGCAAAAGGCTTTCGGTGCAACTTCAAAAGTCCCCAGAGTCTATCACAGTTTCACCAATGTTTAAAATTCCAAAGTTCAAAGTCTCTTCTGAAACTCATGAGTTCATGACAATCTCTTAACTGTAATCCCCACACACAGGGTATACATTGTCATTTCAAAAGGGAGGGAAGGTGCATAATGAAGAAATACTGGACCAAAATAAGGCCAAAATACCAGCTGGACAAACTCCAAACTCTGCATCTCCGTGTCTGATGTCAAATCACTCTCCATATCTCCAACTCCTTTCAGCTGTGTTGATTGCAGCACACTTGTCTCTCTTGGGCTGGCTCCACTCCCTTGTTAGCATCCTCCTCAGCAAGTATTTCACAGCGCTGGCTCTTCAACATTTTGGGGTCTCTCAGGAAATCCAGGCTTCGGCTTCACAACTTCATGCAATGGCCTCTCTGGGCATCCATGCAGGGATGCCCCTGGCACTTGCTTAGCCTCAGTAGCTTTCCTTAGTCATAGAGGGAGGTTCCACAACCTCTTTCTTGTATCCTTGACTCTAAAACTAGAGTCACATGGCCAAAGATACCAAGTTCTGCTGCTTGTTTGGGCTGGAATATGGACCCCTCATTCAAATACATTTTCGCCAACTTCCTATTTTCCATGGTTTCCTTCATTCTCTAAGCTTCGCTGTCCTGGAACTCATGCAGACCAGGCTGGCCTTGAACTCCTAAGTGCTGGGATTAAAGGTTTGGGCCATCATACCATGCCCTAAGCTATTCTTCAATTCCCTTTTACAAGTTAGAAGCTTAGCTAGGTAGTGTCTTGAGGTCAAAATCCCCTTTAGCATCAGGTTTTTCTTTAATCTGTTTATCTCCTTGAGCACAAGACTTATGGGGGCTATGTTTTAACTTTTAATTACTGTGCTTAAGAGATCTAAAGAACAAAAAGCATCAATTCTACTTGTCCAAGGACAGATAAACTTGTAAGCCTCGCTTGCCAAAGGAAAGATAACTTTCTGGAATTTGGGGGCTGTTCATGTTTTCATGTTTCAAGACATGTTTTCACTTTTGTAAACAAACAGAATGTGTTTGATCACATGTAGGCAGGAAATACGTCAGAGTGTGTGCTTGCTTGTAATTGGATGAAGGCAGGAAGTACATAGCCTTGTGGGTTTTGTCTTTATAAGCACCCAAATGAACTTAATTTGCAGCCATTCTCTGGGAATCCTGGGTATAGGCCTGGCCAGTGTCCATCTTCTTGACCAGTATTTAGTAAAGTTTGATTCAAATTTGGCTTTAAATTGTGCTAGTGGTCTTATTCTTGCCTAGTGGGAATAATAGACTAAGTAAGCTCCATTACACTTCCTAGTGCCCCCTTTCTCTTCAAACTATACATTTTGAATTTTTCCTTGCTCAGTTTGCTCCTTTTCATCATAGATCTGCATAAGACTGGTTACTAATAACCACACAGCACAGTCAATACTAGGCTGTCTAAAAATCTCCTCTGCTAAAGCTGCTAATCCATAACTCTCTAGGAAGATTTTTGGGATAAAAGCAGAAAACAGTCATATTCTTCACCAAAATATCACAAGAATGATCTCTAGGCTACTTACTAATATTCTTCTCCTCTAAAACTGCTGAGTTGGGTTCCCACAGTTCAAATAACCCTCAGAACCACTCTCTTCAATGCTCCTCTTAGGATGTCCCATTAATTCCCCCCTTAAGTTGTCAAATCATTTTTCTGGTCACAGTAAGTCTGGTGCATATATGAATCACAGGCTGTAGCAACATGCACAGGGCTTGCACAGGTACAAGGCAGATAGGGTTCCAGCAATGTGAGGAGGAAATGGACCCAGGAACCCAACCTAACTATTAAGTTATCTACAACTGGTGCATACTGGCAAAGAGAAAACCATTTTTATCCAATGGAGTCAGTCTTATAAGCACATTAACCACATGTCATGGGTGGGCTCAATGCACAGTTGTAGTTGGCCAACACAAACAAACAAAAAAAGAACCCCAGTGGTATCTTTGTAGATTTTTTTTTTGGGGGGGGTCTCACTTTGCTTTGTTTGGGCATCTCTTTCTCTCTGCCTTAGTAGTCTTTTGCTTGTTTATTTTGGTTCTCATTTTTGTGGGTTTTGTGTGTGTGTTTCTTTTTCCCCCCCTATTTTATCTTGTTATAAAGAGGAAGAAAGAAGAACAAAGTTTGGTGGAAGGATCTGATCTGGGAGAAAATGAGGGAGGGTAAATTCATGATCAAAATATACTGTTTTGAAAAAAAATTTTTTCCCTTGTGTTTTTTGAGACAGGGCTTTGTTTTGTTTTTTGTTTTGTTTTTTTGTAGTCTTGACTATTCTGGGAACTCAGAGATCCACCTGCCTCTACCTCCTGAGTGCCAGGATTAAAGGCGTGTGCATTCTGAGAATATTTAGCTAATGCTCGTGAGGTAGCTCAGTGGGTAAAGGCACTGTGACCAAGCCCAATGACCTGAGTTTGATCCCTAGGAATCACATGGTGGAAGAAGAGAGCCCCTTCTTCTCACTTCCATGTGTGTTATGTGACAAGAACCCTGGCCTATGCTCACATGTAGACAAAACAAATAAAAGTTAAAAATACAAAGTGGATTAAGCTAAACTGTGATGCTCAGTAGGTTAGACTTATTAAACACATCTCCATCCTATGGTATTTTCAACTTAGAATGGGTTATGATGGAACCTAAACACCAGGAAGCAAGTCTGTATGCCTTGCAGGGTATTGACAAGGGCTTGCTGGCAAATAGTATATTAATCCAAAGCAGAGGTTTTCCAGGGAGTGTGGCTGCCAAAATCACCCCAGGCAAGCTCTTCCCTAAGGTGGCTCTACCATTTGGAGGGGTAAAGTGTTCTTAGGTGACTCTGCAGGACACACTTCACGGAAGAAACTATACCACATGTATTTTCCACTTAGTTTCATCTTCTAGAAAACAAAAAAGTAAAGTAAAGCAACCTGTAATTCCTCCAGAAAAGGCCCTTCTTAATGTCTTGCTGGCTATGAAACATATTATGAACTGAATTAATAGTGGATTATGTGGCAAGTGAACATTTAATACGTGTACATTAATGATTAAATGTAGTTCTCACAGCAGTGTTGTGAGGCAGCTTGTAATTCTCATATTGAAAAGAAAGAAAGTTGTAGGGCTAGGAAGGCTTCCACAAAAGCCTCCAGTAATGCAGCAGAGTGGTTGTGGCTCTCACAGGTAGAAAGAAAAATAATTGTGTTATTTTTATTTGCAATGCTTAAATGTTTCCTATAGCTATTTAAAAACTTTTAGTTATCATGCCATACTTTGCTTGTAAAACACATTAATATAATAAAACCATCAGCTATTCATTATTTTGTATCTATTTTTATGTATACACATGCATAAACACACACACACACACATTTTTGGGGAGTGCCAGAGAAATAATCCATTGCTTCTGAGTTTGACCGTGGGAGAATAATTTAAGATGGGTCATTTTCATAACATTAATTTTCAGAGACAAGTTTTTATGTGAGACCAAACACAAAACATATTTCTCCATCAATCTCCACAACAGAAAAGGGACCGTGCCTAGAGGAAAATGTGTGAGCCCAGTGTGAGCCCACTGCAACGTCACTGAATTAGACCCATTTTTGCTATGTATAGTGATCTGAATCTGTAACTTGTTTCTTCCATAAAACCACCATTCCATACAAGTTTGCAGAAATTTTCTTCCCAAGGAAAGAAATCTGCATCAAATCTTGGTGACATGAAATACTGCAGTCCCGTTTACAAAAACACCAAGGCTCCAGGTACAGTTTTGGTGTTCACCATGCTGCAGCTTCTGGGATCAGTGGGAGATCAGGAACAAGAACAAAACAAAGCAAAGAGAATAAAGGTAAGCAGTAAAGTCTTATTTCCAGAGTGTTCACCATAAAATAAAACCATCCACTCCTACAGTTGTGTGGGTACCCTTTATAGCAGGGTAATGCACCTCTAAAATAACTAGAACACTGATGAACTAGCCAGGGTCAATAAAGATGATGTAAACTGACTCCCAGATCCAAGGTGTAGCTAAGGGTAAGAGAGACACCATCATCTTTCTAATAATGAAGCATGGACCCAAGCTTTGCTCTTTACCTTGCTTGTCAACAAATCACTCATCCTGTGATGTTGCTTTAGCATAGCTCAGAGGTAGATTCAGACCAACAACTGGCCCCACGATGCTCAGCCATGATGTGATGTAGTTGACATTTCTAGGAAACAAGGGAAACACATGTAATATAAATTCTGTATCACAGTTTCTGATGGAGAACCAGAAAGTGGCCAAAAGGAAGAGAAATTAGGCCTTTCCCTAAGATATGGGCTTGCTTGGAATCCCAGAATCCCTATGCCAGCCACATGGTGTAAGTTTGGTTTGTGACCCTGAAGTATATTATGATCCTTCACTAACGTAGTTGAAGGGGAAGACAGAACTGGGGCCTCTGACTTCTCCTGATGGCCCAAGCTTTCATTTGAATTTAAGCAGTTATTGAGCTGGCTGAGTGCGGTAGGTAAAACAAGGGTGCTGAGGTAAAAATGTCTGTTTTCAAGTCCCAGTCCTACCTCAAACTAGCTGTGTGACTTCAACAGAGTCACCTGACTCCTCTGTGATTTAGCCTTCTTGTCTGAAAACTAAGAGAAACCGTGGTTGGTATTTAGTTCTGGGATGTAATAAAAGCCCAATGTGTTCACACATCTAAAACTCAGGATACTTAGCACACAGCCCAAATCAATGTGTTCACCATTACTATTAGAAAGAATATTTCTTATTATAGCCCAGCTTTTAGAGTTGTATGAAAAGATTTATACTTTTAAAGTCAGAGTAAAGTACACTGTGTCTTGAAGATGTTTCTTACCTATTGGTTTCCTGAGGATTCTTCAGCACAGCGGTCATGAATTCATTTGTCTTGCAGGGATGTAGAACAAAGAATGGTTGCCCAAGTATAGGATGCTCCTGTAACAATTCAAACTGTCACCGAACTACATTGAAAAGTTAAACAATTTGTTTTACTTCTTATTTTTAAAATGTGTATACCATTTCTCTTCCTCTCTCTGTGTGTGCACACATATGCACATGCGTGTTTGCACACAAGCATATGTGCACATGTACACATGTGATCTGAGGACAACTTGCAGGAATTGTTCCCTTCCTTTCACCATTGGGATCCTGGGCTTGACCTCTGGTCATCAGGCTTGGTTGCAAGTGCTTTCATCACTGTGGTGGTTTGAATGAGAATGGACCCCTTAGGCTTCTATATTGGAATGTTTATCCATAAGAGAGTGGCACTATTTGAGAAGGATTGTAAGGATTGGATTAGGAGGTATGGCCTTGTTGGAGGAGTGTGTTACAAAGAGTGGGATTTAAAGTTTCAAACCTGTGCAAGGCACAGGTTCTCTCTTGGCCCATGGGTCATGAAAGATTTTGTCTACTGCATGCATGCCACTATGCTCACCACCACGGTGATAATGAACTAAACCTCTGAAAATGTAAGCAATTAAACTGTTCTCAATTTAATGTTTTCCTCTGTAAGAGTTTCTGTGGTCATGGTGTATCTTCACAGCAATAGGACAATGACTAATACACCTACTAAACCATATCACCAGCTTCTGCTCTTTCAAGATAGACATCTATCTTAAATTCCATGTCACTGATTAACATTCAGGTCGACTTTCTACTTTGAAATACAGTTATAATCCAAACATGACAAAGGGTGTGGGAAGGAGCTATTCACTGATTTACTGTCAAACACAGTGGGGCCACACATGCCATTTACACACTATAAATTAGATAAATATCTGGTTCTTTCTTGGTTAGTGATGTTTCTCTTTGGCTTAATAATTACTCTTTATTTTTCTTCACTGATGTATAAGGATACCAGAAACTTGACAATCAGAACAAAGAATTTTTCTTACGTCTTTGTTAGTAGTTAAGGAAAAAAGTCATTTGCATATTTTAACTTAAATTTGGCTAATGTGCTTGTTGTTTTAGCATGCTATCTTCCTCCCAACATCAATGGGCATGTGCTGTGTGAGCACAGCAGGTGTGTGGCAGGGAATGGCCTGCATCCATTCTCTCTCCTCCTTTTACTGATCTTTATCTCTCAAATGTACAGGGCTGTTTCTATTACCCAACATCCCCTTTGATATAAGTCCACTTCCTCTATAGGGAAATGGCTGGTTATAAGTTGCAGATCATTCTGCTGTCAATTTATAGACGCAAACAATGGGGGAGTTCATAGAAGGGTTCTATACAGTTAGTAATTCATGCACAAGGTCCATCAACACAAAACAATTATGAATGATGAGTTATTTACATTCTTATTTGTCACTGTGATAGATATTATCAACCCAAGTAGCTATGGAGTCCATGCAGATGACTTTGAGGGATAATGCTGGCTAAATATATAAGGACCACAAGAGCTGGAGAGGGCTGCAATTCCAGGGTGTTTCCTACCCTGAGCCAGCTAAGTGGGTCATGTGAAAATGCAGGTCCCACCTGCCAGCTCTTCTATTTGTTAAAATGACCTACAAAATTAGATCATTTAAATGCTCTTAAATTTAAATGTTGACAGAATGTCTTTAAATATCAAGCAGGCTAAATGGAAGAGGCATGTAGCTGGAGCTAGGTTAGGGGCTGCCCATTAGTTCTTCTTGGCTGCTTCTCCTCTTCTCGGTCACCCTACATGGAAGCCAACCCAACAGCAGTTCCCGAGGAGTTTAATTTCTGCCTCTACCCTCAGCCTCAAGCACCTATGCATGACACTCCTCTTCCAGAGGACCCAAGTTTGATTCACAGTACCCATGTTAGGTGATTCACAACTGTCTGTAGCTCCAGCAGTAGGGGAGCTGATGCCTCTTCTGGCCTCTGAGGTACTCCCACATGTGTGTCAGATACACACAAATAAAGGAAAAAACAAAATGCATTGGTGCTGAAATTAGGGGATTTATGTGTGGTGGGGGTGTAACTATGATACGGACCTGGAATTTTTAGCACTATTTGGCCTCCCTAGCTGCCATTTTAGACATCTCTGTTCACTACATCATTTGTTTTCTAGTTTTCTTATTTTTTACCAGCTCCTTTCCCACCCACATTCCTGCCCATTACTGGGCCCGAGGGTCATAACTTAGGTGCACTGTGCCTCTGGCAAGTCTCCTGTGCAACTTGATTCATGATTCTTCATCTGTCTTAAGCTAATATTAATTAATTCAATATGTATTTATAAGAGAAATCACTTTTCATGTGTCTCCCAGGAATAGCTCTAGGTACACATTTGTAGACTAGCATATCTCTAGAGTAAGCAAAGTCTCTGGTGTCATAGAATTTGATTCAAAGGCAGGAGACAGCCAACAACACACAGAACACAGGCTCAATGATGCAGATAATAGCAGGTGTTCTGAAGGAAATCTAACAGGGCTATAGAGTCCTAGAGGGCTCTCATGGATGAAGCACCAGCCACCGTGCTGAGAACCTCTGGAAAGAGTCTGTACTCTTCACTCTGAGTTTCCTGAAGGACTTACTGACTCATGCAGAACAGTTCACTATACAGTCGAGGACTTGCCTCTTAGAGGAGTATGGTCTACATTTTACAAGACCTCAAAAGAACAATCCAGGATATTCATAGACACAGTTCAGCTGAGAGAACTGTTTTCCCAGAGAAGGCCAAGAAACAAGGGCACTACAGCTCTGTTGGCTGGCTGCTGTGTAGTAAAGACTTGGGCTCTTTGTTATCTTTGCTCACTCCATACAGAGAATGGGTAAGAGTGCATACAAGCTCTGTAGTGAAGAGTCCTGTTCTACCAAAGAGGAACTGTGAGTTTTAGGAGACCCTCAATCATTTTCTGTCTCCTTCCTTATTAGATAGAGTGATTGCAACTCTTCAATGACATAACATCAGAAATGTGCACAGAAGAATGCTTGACAGAAACTTCATGCTTAGTTATTGTTATGAGCAGTTTTTTTGCCAGCCTGGTCCCACAGCCGTGTCAGCCCCAAAATAACACAGAGAGACACTATTAATTATAAAGCTGTTGGCTAATGGCTAGAGCTTATTGGCTAGCTCTGTCTTAGCTATTAACTCATTTCTATCAATCTAAGTGTTTCCGCGTGGTGTTACCGGGGAGTGAGAGACCCCCGACCTCTTATTCCTCTCACAGACTACTCTTGACTTCTCTTTATTAACCTCCCCCAGAATCCTCCTTGTGTCCTAGTCCCACCTATCTTGCCTTCCTATTTGCCAACAGTGCTTTATTAATTAACCAATAAGACAGCATATTACAGAATGACATCTCCCATCAAGTTATTAATTAATTCATAGCTAAATAGACCAGAATATAACATTCAGACTGTGGTCTTACAGTGATGGCAAAGATTTAATACTAGTACTGGTTTTACTGAAGGTTTTTTTTCTGTATGAGACCCTGGATTCAATATTCTAATCACACACACACACACATGCATGAATGCACAAGAACACTCTTGTAGATTTGCAGCATTAAAGAAATCACTGATTAGTATCTTACGATTTAGGAATACTTGACAACTGATTACAACTACAAAAAAGAAATGTCTGAGTTAATGAAAGATTTAGATATATAGGATAACAAGGATTATCAATATATTGCTTTTCAAATTATATTTTCATTTATTTAGTATGTAAGTTGGTAAGTATGCATAGGTCAGAGGACAAGTTGTAGGAGTGCCTATATCCTCCTACCATGAGGGCCTTGGGGAGTGAACTCATGTTGTTAGGGATTTTTACCCACTGATAATCTTACCAGCCCTTGTTTTGTTTTTTTGAGACCAGATCTTAATATATAGTTATGTCTGGCCTAGAAATTACTATGCAGTCCAGGCTGGCCTCCAATTCGTGGAAATCAATTTGCCTTAGACCACTGAGTGATGGATTATAGACGTGAGCCACCACACTCAGTTAAACTGAAAACTTAGGCATTAAAAAAAGTTTTAGTAATTGCTCTGGTTTCCTTTGAAGGGCAATCCTGGGATGGAGGCAGTCGCAGGAGGGCAAGAAGGTTCTGCAGGCATCTCTGGCTGATGGAATGCCACAAACGCAGGGGAGAGACAAGGGCTGCCAGGAGATGAAAGCCAAGATTGGCTTGAACAGGATCTGAAGTCTGAGTGTGTTTCACCCACTTGCTAGCCAGTAGCAAGAGGGAAGCTCCATGGGCTCGATGCATTTGAACACAATCTCTATCAACCTATAAACTCTACAGACACAGCTGGGCCACAATGAAGAAGATAGGTGAATATTCTTTAAATGAAAATAAAAACCCAGACATAGGGGCAGACCCATGGGTATAATTTCACTCTTTTTAGAGACTGAGGCAGAAAGATCATGAGGCTGCCCACCAGCCTGAGGAGCACGATGAGACTTCATCTCAAACAAACAATAACCAAAATAGCAATAATGAAAACAACAGACAAATGAGAGGCTACACTTACAGGGAAGACACGTTCAGAAGATGAAGCCCAAGAAAGTTTCTAAGACAAATAGAAGCGACAGGAACAGAAGCAAAAAGAGCCCTCAGAGGAAGCCATTAGAATCCAGGGTTGCTGGAATATCCTGCCCAAAGTGTTCAGTTTTCAAAGAAATTTATGGCATACATAAAACACATAGGGCGATGTATTTAAAAGCAAAAATGGACTCTGAGTGGGCAAAAATGTTGAATTTACCAAGAACTCACACCAAAGATTTAAAATATGTTTACAGAACTAAAAGGCCAATGATGCCAATTCTTCAAATTGAGTGATGTCAGTACAGAAAAACAAACCTCAGGAAGAAGCTGATGGAATTCCCCACTCACAGAAAAATGCCTGACACAGATCTTCCAGGTACGTTCACCAATGGATGTAAGACAACAGGAGAAAGAATCAGTGGATTTAAAGACACGTTAAAGGAAATATTCACTTTGAAAACAGGAGGTGGAAAACTATGG